TTCGCCCGAATAGCGTCAATGAACTCACCCTCCACTTTTCCAGGGATCTGGATGGACGCCGTGAGGTAGACTTTACGCCCTTCGACTCTCTCTGGCCATGCACGCAGGCGAATCGGAACATCCGGTGGAACAGACTGCGCAAAAGACGTGTTGAGGTATGCTGTGACCGCAGGCCGGCAGCAGTCTGCAAGGATACGGTCTAAGAGCAGGGCGAGGTATCCGCCAAACATTTTTCCATCATAGTAGCACATCTGCTGCCGCGGGGTCAATTTTATGACAGCGTCTGCTTCCATCCCCAGAGGATGACGCCGGAAGGTAGGGGTATAGCCTTGAAGTAGAGAACGGAGCAAATCTTGCGAAGGCTCTACCGACAGTTTCTGTCGAGAATATCCCTGAGTCAGTATTGAACACGGTTGCAGTTTTTATGGGGAACATACGGGTACTCTCTTGGGGATACCCTTTACTCCATCATATACAAGGCTAGTCTTGTAGGGTAGAGCTTGGCCTTGATATCCGCGTACCGTCTGATAAGTCACTCGAGCCGCAAAGTGTCGAGACATGTTTGTTATGGGTCTTGTAGGTAAGGCTTAATTCAACATAAGATAGAACGAAACCAGTAATATGATGGCCCCAAAAAGAGAGGAGTGGGATGCACGACAATAGCTACTTATAGGTTGATGTCTCTACTCTAGAATCCTTCCTGCCCAAGAACTGTATACTACCATATTTCGCCATATTGCGTGTTACTGTTGAAAACAACTCGAAAGTGTATGCAAGTAAGGTGGAATTTTTGATTGGGTAGACGCTGATCTGCGAGCCGATTTGGGGTCGCACGACCCGGGCCCTGTCTCCACTACTTGGTTGCGACCCCATTTCGGTATGGCAAGCACACAGAGGGCGATCATAACCATATACCAACCCGACTATTATGATCTAAGTTTGTCCGGGGACAAGCTTAAGGTATTAGAAAAAAGAGAATTTTTCTATTTTTTAGTTTTCTTGTACGTAGCATACGAATTATACTAGATGCTGCTGATTTCTTTTTCGTTCCCCCCTCCCTCTTCTTTTCTTTCTTTTCGTTTTTAAGACTCCCGGGGTTCGGTTATTTATACTGTAGCGAAGTAAGGCAACGCGCAGGCCTTAGCTACTCCTCGTCGTCGCTGGTGCGGTGGGGAGGCGAGGGCGCGGCGTCAACAACTCCAAATCCCTTGAGTATCAGCAACGCGATAGATTTCAGGACACCAAATCTAGTCACTGCATAAACAATAGAGAGCCTTCAGTTCATCGATTGTAGCGAGGCAAAATGGGATCAAGCATCTTGGCTATCTCGTCGTTGGTTTGTTGTTGGCTGTCAAAGTTTTCACGACGCGTCGGGGTCGCGTCCAACCACGGTTTCCATCTCCTTTGGGCAGATCTTGGTTTCTTCAAGCACCACCACCACAGAACTGCTTGAATACTTGTCCCCAGCACCACGTAGAGATGTCTGCCCATCGCTGGGGTCATCTTACTGTAGCACCTACAGACCAGATTGGCTCAAGCTGCGGATGGCCAAATAATATTTGGAGCTATAAAAGCTATCGAGATATTTGTAGGTCCCCAGCGTTGGTGGTATCGTGGACCCGGCAGCCTATAGTCAGACTTGACCGGCTGGGCCGTCATCATATAACTAACCTCTCATGGCCAGAGTCTGCCATGTCTGACGACTCATTTGACGGCAAAGATCGAACTCTGGAAGTGTGGGCCAAACACCATCACCATTATACCATTCTCTCTCATCATCGTCTCCTTCAAATTGTTCGCTATTCTCGGACTCTGACCATTCTCGGTGTTCAGAGCAAGGGCGATCCGCAGCGGAAGATCGGAATGGCACGTTATAGGACATATTGTTTGTAATACTGACGCCCCCTAGGAGTAGGGTGGATGAGAGGAATTCAAATCTGCTAAGGAAACTCCGAAGGTGGATAAGTGCAACTTTCAAGTGTAGAACGAAATGGAATGACCTCGAAATGCATACACGCTTTATATATTTGTTCCACTCCTA